TTGCCACAGTCAGCACACCTGTATAGCCGATCCCCGCCGTGAATGCGCTGGTTATTCTCAGGTATTAGCTCTGTGCAGATTTTCTGCAGACAGTGCATTGGAATGGCCGTTCCTCAGTGTGTGTGCGCTGATGTCTTCAGAGGTTTGAGCTGCGTGCAAAGCCCTTGCCACAGTCAGCACAGCGATCCGGCTGCTCTCCGGTGTGCATGCACTGGAGCTGGTTGAGCTTGTTGGCATTGCTGAACCTGTTACAACAGTTGGCACAGCGATACAGCTGCTCCCCGGTGTGTGTGTGCGCTGATGTCTGGTCAGCGTACTGGCAATGCTGAAGCTTTTCTTGCAATCGCCACAGTGGTACGGCCGCTCCCCTGTGTGCGTGCGCTGGTGTATTCTCAGGGCTGAGCTCTGGGTAAAGCTCTTGCTGCAGTCAGTGCAGCAGTACGGCCGCTCCCCGGTGTGCGTGCGCTGGTGTGTTCTCAGTCTTGAACTCTGCGCAAAGCCCTTGCCGCAATCGGTGCAGTTGTATGGCAATTCCCCAGTGTGCGTGCGCTGGTGTCTTTGCAGGTGTGCAAACCGTGCAAAGCCCTTGCCACAGTCAGCACAGCGATACGGCCGCTCCCCGGTGTGTGTGCGCTGATGTATTCTCAGCTTTGAGCTCTCTGCAAAGCTCTTGCCACAATCACTGCAGCAATATGGCCGCTCCCCGGTGTGCGTGCGCTGGTGTATTCTCAGTTTTGAACTCTCTGCAAAGCTCTTGCCACAGTCACTGCAGCAATATGGCCGCTCCCCGGTGTGCATGTGCTGATGTTTTCTCAGAGTTGAGCTATGTGCAAAGACCTTTCCGCAGTCGGTGCAGCGATACGGCCGCTCTCCGGTGTGCACCCGCTGGTGTATTCTCAGCGTTGAGCTCTCTGCAAAGCTCTTGCCACAGTCAATGCAGCAGTACGGCCGCTCCCCAGTGTGTGTGCACTGATGTGTTCTCAGGCTTGAGCTCTGGGCAAAGCCCTTGCCACAGTCGGTGCAGCTGTATGGCTGTTCCCCGGTGTGCGTGCGCTGGTGTCTTTTCAGGTGTGCAAACCATACAAAGCCCTTGCCGCAGTCAGCACAGTGGTGCGGCCTCTCCCCGGTGTGCATGCGCTGATGTATTCTCAGATTTGAGCTCTCTGCAAAGCTCTTGCCACAGTGCGTGCAACGATACGGCCGCTCCCTGTTGTGCCTGCGCTGATGTGTTCTCAGGGCTGAGTTCTTTGCAAAGCTCTTGCCACAGTCAGCGCAGCAGTACGGCCGCTCCCCGGTGTGCGTGAGCCGGTGCTGCCTCAGTGCGAAGGGGTTCCTGAACCTCTTGTCGCAGTCGACGCAGTGATGGGGACACTGGCCCATGGGGAGTCTCTGGTTTGGTCTCTGGCTGAGTTTACCCTGGGGATGGACGGTGTTCTGTGCATGGATCCCTCTGTGGGATGCGGGATGCGGGATCCTGTGTTCCTGCTGCACTCTCCCCACATTCAGACTGTGTCCTCGTTCCTCCCAGGACCCCGTGCCCTGCTGGAGAGAGCAGAGGCAATCCCGGTGTTAGCTCAAAGTTAGGGCTGCAGGTTTGCCAAGGATGGAAAATGTCACAGATGGAGCGATTTCCCCATTTGTCTGTGACTGTTTTTGGGATGGGTGCCTCAACCTGCAATGGCGGATCCTGTCCGACAGTGTTGGACCCAATGCCTCGCTCCGGGCACTGAGACCTGGCCCGCGGGGTTCCAGTGCCACTCAGCTTTGCCCCCGCTCCCTGTCATGATGGCGGGGGAGGCGGGTCAAATTTCAGTGTATGGCCTTGGCCCCCATATGTTCTCAACCGCAGGGGTTCTCAACCTTTTTCTTTCAGAGGT